AGACAGACAGACACACACAGACACACACACAAACACACACAGACAGACAGACACATACACAGACACACGCACACAGACAGACACAGACACACAGACACACAGACACACACACACAGAGACAGCCAGACCCACACAGACAGACAAACACACAGATAGACAGACACACACACACACACACAGAGACACACAGACAGACAGACACACAGACAGACACACAGACATACACATACAACCAGCTCAGACCTATGCACATCCCTACCCCCCCACACACAGAGACAGAGACAGACACACACAGACAGACAGACATACACAGACAGACACACACACACAGACACACACAGAGCGGAGCTCATGTACCCACACATGTACTCATATGCACACATACCCAACGCTTACGCACACCACACATGGCTGCTGCCTTCCAGAGATACAGCTCAGGAGACCTGTGATCTCCACTGATCTCCTGTGATCTCCACTGTGCTGCTGCAGAGCTCGCTATGTAGCGCAACAGTCTAGGTTCTGGGCACCCTGCAGAGCACTACTCAGTGTCTGGTTTTCACCACTGGGCACCATGAATTAGCAGCTCCCCCACTCTCTTATGGACAGGAGGTAGTGATGCTTACCAATACAGTAAAGTCAGTACCATAGCATTGTTTCATGTTGAGGGTAAAATATATAGAAAGTGTCTCAGGGGAACTGAGGTTTGTGTCCTACTGTCATTGAGGATGGCGCAAGAGTGGTTTGCTCATGCATGCATCTGTGGAAAAAAAAGAACCTGGGTAGAGTAGAGTTTAACAGTGGAGTTCACAGGTCACTCAATACTTATACAGTCAAACAAGTAAGTTGTGTTATCCTGTGGGAACAAGTCTGGGCTTTTACTTCATGGATCTAAAACTTGAAGTCTTTATTTGTTCTGTAGTAGCAGCAGCCAGTTTGCTGAGGGCTTTCTTTGTCCTGGGTCATATGTTGTGATCTCCACAGCCACCCAGGCAGTGGCCAGTCCTTACAGCAGGGCAGGAGGCTGAGTAGCAGGGGTAGCATGGGTGGCCTGAGGTCAGGTAGTGTGCACCAGTGCAGGCCAGTCCTCACTGCAGGGGCCCATATAGTGTTTTCTGCTCTTGCTGTCTTGGGGTCACTGTGCTGTGACTGTGTCCCCATTTCTAGATGAGACTAGAATCTGAATTCTCTTGAAGCTAGTCCTTGTCCAAGGGCCCCTGTATAGAAACTGTGTTGCTTCCCCTTAACCGTTTTACTGTTATAGTGTGTAGGCTCTTCTTTGGAGTGGCTGGGTATAGGCTCATTTGCTGACACTTCCCAGATTTATTTTTCCCATAGTTAGAAACAGAAATCATTCCCAACCACAATGCTATTGCAGTGAATGAGAATGCACTATTGTTGGTGTTCTCGGTAGCAAGGGGGTCTGTGCCTAACAGCTGAGCCGTCCAGGGGCTTCTGGTGCTGGGTGCCTCTGCTCTGAGCACAGTCCCGCTGGAGTATCCCATGACCCCACATCTGCATCGCTTCATGTCTGAGAAATGTCTCCTCTCCCTCTTAATACTGCAGAAAATCACAGATTGGAATCTGCCTACCAGAATCATCTAATTCTGAAAGTGTTGGTGGTAAGTGTCATCTTCTGTGCTGTGGCAGCATCTCTTGGCCAGTGCCACCTTGCTGCCTCCTGGTGTGGGGTGAGAGTTCAAGTCTGTGGGCACAAAACAGCTCCCAGGTCTGGGCTGCTGAGCGTAGTGCGGTCTGGGCCGCCCCCGCATCTCCATGGGGCAGCAGCCTTAGGCTCCACGGAGGGAAAAGGAGAGGCTGTCCATCCCTTGCATGTGCTGCTGGCCTAGGGGATTCTTGGTCCAAGTGGGCTTTACACATAAGAGCAGGAGCCTGGCCGTCTGGTGTGTGTGTGAGACAGGGTGCAGGCCCCTTGCCTGCGGGTGGGGACTGTAAGATGTGTGGGACTCTGTGCCCTTCCTTCTCCTCTTGGCTCCTGTGTCTCTACTCACCTCCAGGGTTGGTAGTTGAGTTCTACCTGCGGGTGAGGGGAAGCAGTCCCAAGCTACTGTCTGCCGCAGGGGTCCCTGTTTTTAAGGGGGGTTTACAGCTGCGATGCAGAGATGCTAACACTGTCTTCCTCTCTGGCAGTTCAACTTTCTCAATTGTTTTGCTTCGCTCTTCTACATTGCCTTTGTCCTGAAGGACATGAAGCTTTTGCGCCAGGTGAGTGAGCTAGCAGAATGCTGGGGGAGAGGGCCCCACAGATGGCCTCCTGCCCTAGAGATGAGTGTGCTGTGTGCCTTTACTTGGCAAATTTCCATCCCCCTTTAAATAATATGCATTAGCACCTGCACAAATGTACTATGCTCAATGGAGAAGTTAGTTAACTTGAGTTCTCTTGCAAAATGAGTCATGCAAGGTGGCAAAGCTGGTCCCGCTCACCAAGGCAGTGCTAATGGTGCAGGTGTCCACAGCCTGTGAGCTCTGTCAGTGACGTGGGTGGCTAGGATAACCTTTAACAGGTCTTGCAAATTTCATTTTGACTTTAGTAACACGTTACACTTGAGAGACTAGCAGGTCTTATGTGGTGCTGTTTCATGTCTGAAATGCCGGAGAAAGTCCTGCCTGCATTTGTTGTACCATCATGTCTGGATCATATAAAACCAATGGCCAATAAGTTGTATTCAGACTATTAATTTCTTTTCTCTTAAAAATTATTTTATGTGATGGGTGTTTTGCCCACATGTCTCAAGTATCTGATACCAATGGGTGGGAGAAGAGGCATCAGATCCCATTTAACTGGAGCTACAGATGCTTGTGAGCTAACGTGAGTGCTGGGAATCGAACCCTCATCCTCTGGAAGAACAGCTAGTGCTCTTAACCATTGAGCCTTCTCTCCAGTCCTTCCAAGTCCTGATTTCTTGTGTGTGTGCACGCACATGTGCACAGAGGCAAGGCTGATGCTGGTGTCTGTCTTGATTATACTCTCCACTTTATTTTTTGAGATAGGGTCTCTCACTAAACCTGGGGCTTGCCAGTTCAGCGGGACTGGCTGCCCAGTGTTTGCCTCCCCTGTCCTGGGGTGCAGGAACTAGCTGTCATGCCCATGTCTTTACATGGGCGCTGTAGGGAACTCGGGTCCTCATGCTCCCACAGTAGGCACTGTACTGAGTCATCTCCACAGCTGGAAACTGTAGAATATTTGTCACACTGATTCCCCCCGCCCCAACCTGGCAATGCCATTTTATAGTAACATGCTATAAAATATATAATATAGTAAGTAAAATATGTGATATAGTAGGATGATTTGATCACAGTCACAATATCAGCTTAACTTTCTCTCGGAAGGACAGGATTGTTCTCTCTCTCCCTCCTCCGTCTCTGTCTCTCCTCACCATGTGGAGTCCTGGGTGGTCTGGAACTCACTATGTAGCTCAAGCCTCCCTCTGCCTCTGGAGTGCTGGAATTAAAGGTGTTTCACCAACACACTCAGCCCAGCTAATTTCTTCTGATATTATTCATGAATCACACACAGCCTTCTAATGCTGAGTTTATGACATCGTACGACTCCATTTGGAGCACTGAAGAACCGTTTGTGTTGTGGTCTCGTCTCCATCTTGCTAAACATGATGCTATGTGTCTCCTCAGAGCTTGGCCACACTCCTGATCACCTCCCAGATACTGAACCAAGTCGTAGAATCTCTTCTTCCTTACTGGCTCCAACGGAAGTATTTCTTGAAGGTGAAGAGGAAGGTGCAGGCTTTAAAGGTGGATATTGACACAACCCTGTATGAGAAAGTCCTCCTGGAGAAGGAAATGGGAACTTACCTGGTGAGTTCCACTTTAGTGACGGTGTGTAACCGTCACACAAGTTCATGAGTGTGTGCTGTGTGCTCATGGTCTCTGATGTGTGTCTCGCAGTTAGAGCTCTACAGCTGTTCCCTGCAGGAGCCACTTTGACATTAAGATGCCTCTGTCCTGACTCTTTAACACCAGAGGGCAAGGGTGGGAGATCCCTTGGCTGCTTCACCGAGAGGAGTGCAGGGACATGTGCTCCAGGGAGACAGGACACAGGGGAGATGGTCCCTGAGGCAGCTCACTCACGACCGCTGTCAGACTACTGCCATTATATCTGTAAGGCCGTTCCTTTAAAAATGGTTTATTTGTTGTGTGTGAGAGAGCCTATGCACATGGAGTCAGTCAGTTCTCGGCTCCCCCTCTGTTGAGGCAGAGTGTCTTGTATCCTTTGCTCTGCAGACCCCAGGTTATCTGGCCAAGAGCTTGGAATCTCCTGTTTCTGTCTCTTGTCTCAAGGTGTGAGTGCTGGAGTTGCAGATTCCTGTCATGGCACCCTGCTTTCTGTGTGGGCTGAGTTTGGGGATTGAGCAGGTCATAGAGCCTGTGCTTTCCCGCCTGCTGGGCCATTTCTCTGCCCCAACACATTTCTTTTGACTGGAGGGTTCCTCAGTTATTTTGAGGAAATACACATGGATTATTAAAGGTTTGGTTGCTTGTAATTAAAAATAAAATCCTTACCTGCTGATGAACTCCAAACCAAATTTATCTCCCAGGTCTCTCTTTTGCTTTTCCTGTTCCCCATGTACTGTGTAGCTCCCACCCCCAATATCTCATCTCATCTGAAAATGGTTTCCACTGAGGGGATACTGCCCGATTCTTAGCTCTGATCTCTCTGGTACTCTCATGTCTTCTTCCTTTATGGAGCATGATTGGGGCAACATGGTGACCACAGTCCCCTCTCGTGTGTGACAGCACAGCCTTGGAGTTATCCTGAGCACTGGACAGTGCCATTATTATTGGTCAGTGACAAATCAGGAGGGAGTTCCAGACTCTACTTTCATGGTCCAGAGTCTGTGTTCTGAGAGCGACACGAGAACTTGGTGTGAGCATTTTTCCCATGGGTGAATAGTGTGATAACAGGGCTCCCCCTTACGTTGCCTACACAGTGCAGCCACTTTCTCCTCCCCATCCAGCTTCTCTGTTGACTGTCTCCACTGAGGTGATGCCGGGCAGGCTTCTGAACTGTCTGCAGGCATTGGGAAGGGAAGATTCAGACCCGCCCTCTCTGGGTACCTTTGCTCCTCCCTGAAGTCAGAGGTTTGGGACTGCATGCTCCCTGGATGCCACATATGAGTCTGAAATACTGTTGCCAAATTTTGGAAGAAGGCAGTTTGTCAGATTCTAAAACTATTGTGAAACACAGCTTTTCCCTTCACTATAAAAAAACCAGAGAAATGATAGAGGAGGCGAGGAAAATAAGTCTCTGTGTCCTCAGCAAGGGCAGTCTCTGGGTGTTCTGACCCCTGACCCCTGACTCCTGTCCCCTGCTGTTGTTCTTGCACCTGCTGCTTTGTATCTACATATCTATAAGGATTTCCACCCCCCCCAGCTGCTGATGCCACCCAGCCAGAGAGTCATCATCACCAAGAGGACAGTGACAAGGCTTGCCAGGATTGTGCCTGGATGTCTCTCTTACACTTAGAGGTTTTCTGATTTGGACAATGTAACCATTTTTAAAGGTACTCTGTTACTGTATCATTACTTCAGTGAGTCAGTGAAGTGTTTTTCTGTCTTAATTTCTAGTATGATAAGCATCGCTAGGTAGGACTTATGTAATGATGGTCCTAGCATCTGCAAGAACACTTAAGAGTTGGGACCAGAACTCTTAAGAACAGCGGGTGTGGACTCTTCCTCACCTCACTTCTCAAGGCCCTGGCCTTTATGACAGGACCCAGTGTGATTTGTTGATGTGCCTATGTCAGGCCACAGCTGAGCTGGGCTGTCCCTGTGGGTCAGTGTTCTGAAGCTGTCCCTTGTGCCTGGCACCTGCTTCAGGTCCAGTTCTGCCTTTGCTGACATGTGTGGACAGTGTTGGATTTGTCTTTACAGCAGGCTTGCTGAATCTCCCTAGTGTCCAGCACTTGCCTGTTGGTCTTGCTGGACTTTCTGTGTAGACAGCCAAGTCTGTTTTCTTTGTCTTGTCTTCTCTGTGATTCCATCTTCTCACTGACTTCTCACAGTCTCTCCAGTGTAAAATGTACTGATGGTGAGGGTATGGTCACCTAGAGTCACCTTGTGAGGCAAAAAGAGCTGGACGGGCTCCCCATCCAGCCCTTTGGGGTATGATGGAGAGCTCCCTGCAGTGGATCAGCCACTGTGGTATGGGGAGGGGGTTCCCTTAGTGGGGGACCCTAACATACCAGAAACTACCTACTCACCTCTTGTGAGGGAAATTGCACGTCTACATGGATTTGACTGTTGTGATCATAACAACGTGATTCCAAATGTACACACAGACACACAGACACACACACACACACACACAGACACACAGACACACAGACACACACACACACACACACAGACACACAGACACACAGACACACACACACACACACACAGACACACAGACACACAGACACACACACACACACACACACACACGCACACGCACACGATGTCTTGCAGTAGTTGAGTTACCTCTTCTCTGAGGTGTGTTGTCTTTGGTTTGGGTTGAGGCTGTCAGTGCTTAGCAGGTCGGCAGCTCTGCCTCTTCAGCCTTTGCTTCCTGTTTGCAAAGCTCAGCTAGCGGTGGGATGACAGAGCCCTTTGGGTTGTGCTCCAGCTCCTGGTGCATATGACAGTGTAGGCTCCGGGAATGCTGTAGTTTCAGATGGCCTGTGGGTGTCTTGCTACTCAGCCTGCCTTGGACCCATTGTTCAAGACAGACATGATGTAAAAACACTCAACAAAGACCCAGGAGGAGCTTTTTAGCCTTGGAAGGAATTCTGGAAGCCAACAAAAGGCAAGTGTTTTGGTTCTATGTGGGGTGTTCCAGGGCACCCCAGCCAGGTTAGATAATGGCTTCCCTTTGAGACGGGGCTTTGGGAGATCTCTAGCTACACTCTGTTCCTTCCGATAACGATGCAAGCTGTGCTGCCCCATGCTAGAGTACGGGATGAAATAAAGCTAAAATGCTACACAATTTGTTTTTCTCTTAGCTAAACATTGTCAGCTTACAGTTAGATTCCAGGGAGGCACCACGGCAAAAGCTGATCATGGTGAACCGTTGCTGCTCCGATGGAGAGTTGTTACGATTTCACTGGCGTCATCATTATCAGTTTAAAAAGTCACTCTAACTTCTTAATCTATTAACTTTATTGTATGTGCATGTGTGTGCTTATTTGGAGGCCAGAGGACACCTGGCTGGTTCTCTCTTTCCACCATATGGATCTTGGAATCAAATGCAGGTCTTCAAGCTTGGTAGCAGTCTCCAATACCCAGTGGAGCATCTTGGCAGTTCAAGTTCAGAGCATCCTGGGTGCCTGTGGATCAGGATACCCCCTCCCCCAGCAGTGTTTCCCTGTGTAGCCCTGGCTGTCCTGGAACTCACTCTGTTGCCCAGGCTGGTCTTGAACTCATAGAGATACACCTGCCTCTGCCTCCTGAGCTGGGTTAAAGGTGTGTGCCACCACTGCCTGTCAAGGCTATCTCCTAACTGGATTATTAAGAGCAGCCGTGTTCACATTTTCTGTTGTTTGCCTTGTGGTGGGGTGGTGGTGGGGTGGGTATCAGTTCAATGATTTGTATATGAGGAAAACAGGCAACTAAATAATTTTTTATTTTTATTTCAGCAACTTAGTTCAAAATCATCTTTAAATGTGTATGAATTTGTGGTTGAGAAGGAAGGGTTGGAGTAGACCCTGAGTTTTCATCTTTAAATTTGTATGAATTTGTGGCTGAGAAGGAAGGACTGGAGTAGACCCTGAGTTTTTAGTAGATAAAAACCATCCTTTGCAAGCATTGCATATTTCCATGTGACATGAGCACTGCCTTCTGTCTACATTGCAGGGAACCTTCGATGATTACTTGGAGCTGTTCTTGCAGTTTGGCTATGTGAGCCTTTTCTCCTGCGTTTACCCGTTAGCAGCTACTTTTGCTGTGCTAAATAACTTCACGGAAGTCAACTCAGATGCCTTGAAAATGTGCAGGGTCTTCAAACGACCTTTTGCAGAACCTTCAGCCAGTATTGGTGTTTGGCAGGTAACTACATGAAGAACAATGAAGAAAGATCAATCCACAGTCCATAACGCTAAGGTTTTCTTTATTCAGATAACACCAGCCAAGTGCAAGCCAAAGTGGGACAGGGGCAGCAAGGCAGCCAGGCCAGAGAGAAGGGAGAAGGGAGAAGAGGGTCTCCACGTATGTGCGGTCCCTTAAGAACCATTCCTGTGTCACCTTAGACTTCCCCTCACCACGCCCTCATGGGCGTGTCCCCGCACACTTGTCCAGGCTACTTAGAGGCGGGGCTACAGTGTCTCCCTATAGAACAATGTAAAAAGCTAGTAGCCTTTGTTGGGGAAAAGAAAAACTCTAAAAGCAGAAAATGTATAAAACCCAGAGCACCCCTAAAAGTTACAAGAAAATAAGCTCAAGATTATTATCGATAAGAAAAACACTAAAAACAGGGATCAGATAGAAAACAAGTGTCCGGCTTAAGTTCCAACATACCAACAATTACACTAACTATAAATGGCCTAAAGTTATGGATTAAAGACGGAGATTGGCAGAATGGATGAGAATGTGACCAGATATGCATTGTTTATCAGAAGCAATTCACAAAGGATAATATAGACAGGTGAAAGTCACAGGAAAAATAAGGAAGCTTCGATGAGAAGGAAAGAGGGGAAGTGCTAGCAGAGGAGAGGAGCAGTCTGCCATGAGAAAGGGCCAGATTCTCAGAGAAACATCAGACTGAAGTGTGTATGTATCAAGCAACAGTTTTAAAAGTGGGATGAGGAGAGAACGTGAACAGAAAAGAGAAGTAGAGGAGCCCTATAGTTAGAGGTGAAAGCACTCCCTTCCCCAAGGTAGAAGAAGAAAGTCACCAAGGGTGGAGATGGCTCAGCCTGATCTGCAAAGTGAGTTCCAGCCAGGGCTGTTTACACAGAGAAACTGTCTCAGAAAATAACCCCCCACTGTGGAACAGCTCATGCACACAGATGGGACAAGTCAAGCTGAGACGGGTGCATAGCACCAGTGTCTTCAATCTGTCTGTGGCACTGTACTGCAGTTTCCAGACAAGTTTCCTATGTGAGGACGGCATAAAGATGAGGGGGACTTATATCAAGATGCACAGACCTTATGCATGAACTTAGATACCTCATGAAGATATGACTTCACAAAATTTAGACTGTAGATCGGTTTCACTGAAAATACCAAGCGACTTAAGGCCAAACAGTTCAAATAATGCCATTGGCTAAGGGATGTGTAAAATCACTTTTGGTGTTCACTAGGATTGGAATTACTGTCTAAACCAATAAGAGAAGGGTAAGGACTATAAACATAAACCAGAAGGGACAGATAAAATTGTGTTTGGAGAAAATATGGTCTCAGAATCGTGTCCCTGGGAAAACCCAGAGAATTAACTGAAGAATTGCCACAAGTAGCAAAAACACAGTAACTCACAAAGTTACTCTATGGGATAAAGTGACTACTGTGCACACCCTTGGCCATTGGAAGAGGAAGCAGAGGTGCAGTCCTTGTACTTGTTAGGGGTGGCTTCAGTTATCAGGTGGCAGCCACCAAGAGCTTTACAGTAACAGAAAGGAGAGCACAGAGGTTCCCCATCACCACTCACTGACACACCATGGGACACATGGACCTCCTGGTGGGACCCCAATCAGTGTTCTGCAAGTCCCAGTGAAGCCTGGCTTCTGTATTTGCTGACATTCTACAGGGACTTTGGTTCATGCCCTCAGGAAGGGACCATGGCCTATCTGGAGCTTGGTTATATATAGCTAAGCCAAGAGGGGTGGGTGACTTATCAAAGTAGGACAGACTTGTAAAATTGCTGGTCTTGGAGACGTTGCCTGGTTGGGGTGGGACGCACTTTTCTGAGATGGTCTTTAATTCCCCTCATAAACAAGCAGGGGTGAGTGAGATAAAGAATGCTGCAGGTGTGCCACACTCAGCCAGGCCATCCTCAGGTGTAGTCAAGCTGCAGCAAGCTAAGATGTCCACTAATGGGTCAGCTTTCTTAAGAGGTTTAAAATGTGTGTGGATTTTGTAGATCCCAGGGAAGGGCTTACCCTTGGGGGAGAGGGGTCCAAGTAACATGAACATGGCTGTTGCCACCATTAATGCCACGCCTTTTTTCCCCTTTCAGTTGGCTTTTGAAACGATGAGTGTTATATCTGTGGTCACTAACTGTGCTCTGATTGGAATGTCACCACAAGTGAACGCCGTCTTTCCAGAATCCAAAACAGACTTGGTTTTGATCGTGGTGGCTGTGGAGGTGAGTGAAGGTATCCAAAGATAGGCCTCTGCTGTCCTCCTGCAGAGCTGCAGCTGCAGTCTGTGGTGACGAGCATGCCTGAGTGGTAAGAAGGCAAAGCCTGTCAGGACAGCAGATTGCAGAGTGCAGGCTGTGCCCTGCTGCTTCCTGCCAAGCTCCCAGGAGGAGCCTTCTAGACACTGCCAGGTTCATTCATTGGAATAGGCGTCTGTGGATTTAACGTGTGTTTTTAGCTTGTTCTAGGAAAATGTCCCTTCTGTTTTCTTAAGCAAACTCTAAGAAACTCTTGTTGTTGGTGTAAGTGTTACAGCTCTGAGGGGAAAGGCTTCCCCAATGGAAGTGTTACAGTTCAGAAGAGAAAGGTATGCAGGCAGCCAGGAGCCAAGGGATGCTATAAAGTCATACCACACAACAAACCTCACACAAGCGATTTATTGGGAGAGAAAAACCCAGGAGGGTGGCTGCCTCTGCTTGGGTGAGCAGTGGCAGAGAACTGAGCACAAGATGTAGGGTGGGGCCTAGCCTCTCTGCCGTGTAGGAGTTGAAGTCTGGGGCTAGAGCTGAGCCATTGGAGCTCCTTAGGCCTGAGCCTCAAGGGGTCAGGCCTGGCTGCCAGAGTAATCTAGGGGTGCAGCCTATTGGCTGGAGGTCTCTAGGGGCAGGGCTTACAATGAACATCTTTGAACTCAGCAGGGAAAATTGTGTCCCCTCCACCCTAGTTGGCATGAGTAGCCAACAATTGGGGCTTTCTGCCTGGTTCACTTTCTGCCTGCAGCTATATTCACTGTGAAGCACTCAGGCTCTGTGCTAATTTGTACAAAGGCTGACATGAGATGCAGGTACTCTGGCCACATTCGAGTGTCTCACTTTTCTGTTTGTCATGTTTTGGAACATGCTGATGATTTTCAACACCAGTGAACGTTGTGCCTTTTCGTGAGCAGTTAAAAATGTCATACTTGTGGAAATGTATAGAGACAGAACTTGGTGAGACTGTTGAGTAGCATGTTGTACACCCAAGGCTTCTGGATTGGGGACTGACAAGTAAATGAAGTTGTGACCTTGTCTTAGGGTTTTTATTGCTGTGAAGAGAAACCATGACCATAGCAACTCTTAAAAAGGAAAACATTTAATTGGGTGGCTCACACTTCAGAGGTTCAGTCCATCATGGTGGGAAGCATGGCAGCGTGCAGATGGACATGGTGCTGTGCGGACAGACAGACTCGAGAGCATGCTGAATGTGCCTTTTTATGGGTTAAAGGTTAGAGGCTGACAATGCCATGAAGTTCAGCCCACAGATCAAATCGGCATCCAGTAGTTCCCTCAGAAGCCACCTCGCTTCTGAGACGTCCCCTCCGTCTCTGATGTCATTTCAGAAATGCAGAATCACAGTGAAAGTGCAGTTTGTGAAGATTTTAAGGGGCCACACAGTCCACACATCCAGTGTGGGTAACATTCATGTTTTCCAGCCTGCTGAATGCTAACAGTTTCCCCTGTACACCGGGGGTTCCCCCTAAGGTGGAAGTAAGCTGGCTACTCACGCTGGGAGCATGCCTGCATTCCTAGTTTTTAGGTTCTAGTGATCAGTGAGTCTGTTGTCTCTGTTTACATTTAATTACTGGTTTGAAAAATACTCCTTAAAAGCCATTTCTTATGGATGAGGGGAGAGTAAGTTAATATGATATACGCGCCCTTACTGGTTAGAAATGGAACTGTCATCTGTGTGTCTTACTGCAGGCCCTCTGAGAGTGGATGGGGCTCTCAGGGCTTATTTTCCTAGTTTCAGACATAAACATTGTAAGCTCAGTGCAGATAATTACTCTTTACCTTATACCAGGATTTCCTCACTTTAAAACTTTCTTGTTGTGTGTGTTCTCCCTCTCTGGAGTGGAGTGGGCTGAGGTAACAGATCGCTTGATACTGTGGTTAGTGTGGAGTCTGTCCCTGAGCTTCCACTTGGAGCGCTCGCTCACCCTGTCCTCAGCTGCATGCCCTGCAGGAGCACTCTGGGAAATAACCCACAAGCATCAGGGGTGAGCAAGGCTTGCTGCCAAAGGTGAGGTCTGAGTGAGGCTGCCTGTGTGAGGCAGCTAGCATAGAACCAAGGTGTGTCACAGGACCCACGGGTGTGATTCCAACTGGTCAGTGCACCATGACGCTCTTGCCATCATTTCTTCCAAAGGTCATCATGGCCAAGTATAGCTGAGTGAGAATCAGTTTCCCTCCCCCTCCCTCTCTCTCTGTGAGTTCCAGTCCTTGGGGTAAAGGTAGAACTTTGGCGATGAACTAAAGTGGCAGGCGCTGAGCCTGACCCACAACAGGACATTGGCGGCCTCATCTTTTAGCGGTCAGTGCCTGTGCCTGCATGGCCATGGATGTGTCCCCAGTTGTGCGCCTCCATAGACAACACTCACATGCTTCCGTTTGTGTCACAGTTCACTCCTCACACCAGCCTCCCGCTCCTCCTCTCCTCCTGGGTTTGTTTCCACACCTCAGTCCAATCCTCCCCACCCCGCCCCATCACTGACTCTGTTCAGTCTCTCAGCATTGGCGTGGCCTGAGCCCAGGCTCCTGCCCTTTCTCACCTACACTGTGCTGAGTGTGATTCTTGTATCACCTGGCTCTTTAAAGTGTGCAGTCCAGTGTTCTCACCTGGAGTCTCACAACAAGCCCTCACTAGGCGCGTGGCTCTCCTGCTGTCTCTTCTTTGACCCATAGTAATAGTTAACTTCATTGTCACCTCAACAGGACTTAGTGACACATACTCCTGGGTGTGTGTCTCCAGACAGGACGAGATCAGGAGGGCCCTGGTGTAAAGAACAGATTTGCAATGCTTTGGCATTATTGGGAGGTGGTGAAAGGTTGGAGATGAGGCCAACTTAGGGCACGTAGGTCCCTGGGGTTCTGTCCTTGGGCAATAGCTTGTTGTAGCCTCTTCCTATACTGTATGACCCTTTCTCGGCTTCCTGTTCACCAAGAAGTGGAGAACGGCTTCTACTTTGTGTTCCTGCTGCCAAGATGCTCTCCCTGAGCTCATGGACTCAGGAGCCATGACCCGAATGCTCCAAACCATGAGCCCCAAAGCAAATCCTTCCTCTCTTAACCCATGTACGCAAACATTCCATCACGGCCATGAGAAAGAAGGCAGCAGCACGCCGTGTGTCTGCTCTTGGTGTCACCTCAGGATGACATTCTGACCATGCTCATGTTCTGTGTCAGGAAAGGTGCCCCAGTGGATTACAAAGCCTTCCGCTCGTCCCGCTTCCCGTTCTGTGCAGGACGCCCCAGTGTCTTGCATGCGTTTAGCAGGGACATTTGCAGACCTGTGTGGTCCCCACTGCTTCCTCTCCAAGTGGAGCTCCGAGCCTGGGCAATGACCGTAGATTCTCCAGGAGCTGAGAGGTGTGTGCTGAGTCATTTCCTGAGTGGTTTCAAGTGATGAAGCAATTCATACTAAAGATTTGTTCATGAGCAAATGAATCACATGTTTTCCCCTAGTGCTCTTTGTGACACTTATTTGAGAATTTCAGAGTTATAGTTAATATGCTTGCTGACTATACTTTTCGGAAGCATATTAAGAAAACCTTGGCGTGGGGGGGGGGGGGGGCTGTGAAGATGACTCAGAGGTTAAGAGCACTGGCTGCTCTTCCAGAGGTCCTGAGTTAAATTCCCAGTAGCCACATGGTGACTCACAGCCATCTATAGTGGGATCTGATGCCCTCTTCTGGCATAAAGGTGCACACGCAGATAGAGTACTCAGACAAAATTAAAAAAATAAATAAAAAGCCTCAGCAAAATCTTAGAATTCTATTGTTTGTAAGAATATAACTTCCTATTTAAGAAATATGGAATGGGGGCTGAAGAGATGGCTCAGAGGTTAAGAGCACAGGCTGCCTTTGTAGAGGACGCAAGTTCAGTTTCCAGCACCCACCCTGGGCAGCTCACAGCCACCTACGGCATCCGTCTATCCACAGTTCTTTGTCTTTTACTGTGTTCAAATGCATCCCCTGCTTGTGAGAAATTGAACCCCAACTACTTGCAGGGTTAGCCACTCAGTGCTTGTTGGCTGATGCTCTTCAGAAACACAGATTCTTCGAATTTAATTCCAAGCTTGACCAGGAAGGGGCCCACAGCCAACTGTGCTGTCCATGGTCTTCACCTTCCAGAGCTTTGCATGGGTTGGGTTTTGGCTCTTCTATTTGGGTCCTCTTGGATGAGATCATGGGCTGGATTCCCCACACATCTGTGCCTGTGGTTTTGAGACAGGGCCATGAGAGAGCCCAGGTTGGGCTTCAGTTCTGAATCCTCATGCCTCACTCAGCGTCCTGAGGACTAGGTTACAGGTATGAGCAGCCACACTCAGCCTGTCTTCCTATTTGTGTTTATTTATTCTTGCTGGTCTTTTTTGATGTTTCCTAGTCTTACTCTAGGCTGCCCTCATCTTCAGTTCTTATCCAGTTTAAATGTGGCTCTATGGATGGTGTAGGGATAATTAAAGGCATAAGATAAGTGTTTATTTTATACTGAAACATACCAGATACCAGTAAGATATGCTTCTAGCTTTGCATGCATCTACAAACCTGTCCGAGAGAGAAATTCCAGTGTGGTAAAAGGTCTCTTCTCTAACCTCATCCTCTAGATGGCCTGATTGCTTTTCCCTCTGGAGGGTCAAGTCCAGGCTCCTCCAGCTTCTGGAAATGGTTGGGATGTAGGCTCTGTGGACAGTGTCTGCTTGCTACGTGCTTATAAAGAGAGATTCCCCCCAAAATTTGTTTATGTATGGCATTCTTGTTATTGCAATTGATGTAATTTAATGAAATGAAATCTGATGAACAGTACGGGCTAAGGCAGAGCCGTCGCTTCTGGGAAAACCTTTGGAGAGACTCCATGAAGACAAATTGGTATCAGACAGGATAAGGAGGAGGCAGTTAAAGTGATGAGGGGGAAATCGTAAAAATCTGGGCATGTTCCAGATACGGCTTTTACCCTGCTTCCCAAGTGTC